ATTATTAAAGGTCGGCGCCGGATCTCTCCTCCCAGCTAGGGAGAAACACCGCACCTCTCGGACTACCCTGGCCCCGTCGTGCCTCTCCCCGGCTTTTAAAAACCAATATTTGCTTGCACTGTGGCCCCAGGCACACCCACACATTAGTAATTCTATTATTAGAGTAAGTTTACGAAAATAATTTTGATGATATTTAATTTCATGAGTACATTAAGTTTTTGGAAGAAGTGTAATCGGAACTAATCAGTTTAAGGGTCGAAGTATTCCCGAGGCAAGTTTGTCACTTTACCTTTCCGATATGGATCTTTTCCCTGTTTGAAGTGCATAGCTGACGGTATTCGAGAGATGTTGCGGTAGAATTTTAAGAATAGAAGAAAGAAATGCACGTGATGGGAGGAGTTACTAAACTAGTAGTTAAAATGTTCCTGGTAGTGTTTGCGGTGTATGAACAGAAACTAAGGGGGTGCATATTATATTGTAGATAGCTCCTTAAGTGTAGTTTGTGTATATACTGCTCTCTTTCGCAAGATTCGACCAGAAAATAATCACCGCGTGGATTCATTATTGATTTTGTTTGGAGCTACTGCTAGATTTTCGAGGCATATAAAGTAATCAATAACTCCCTTTGTTGGAGCTCAGATAATATAAAGATAATTTTGAGCTCAGAGAGGCGTTCTACAAAGGGAATTTTCAACTGAATGTATATTTAATTTAATTTCAAGGAGATAGTTATTTCTCACGTAAGTACATAATTCTCCATACGCGGTGCTCTTATTTGATTATCTTGTAGTACAATGGGAGCCTGCAAAATTCCGAGCAAAAGCCTGACGAGTTCAATACAAGATAATCAATGTTCTATAAAAAATAAAAGAGACTCATAAATCGCTTTGTAATGCAACCTCAGTAAATGTTTTATTTGAAAGAGATTAACTGTTATGCCCCATTTTGTAAATCTTTTACGTGTGCCTGCACCTATATTTTTCTTCTGCATTTGAATAAAGTTGTGTGTAATATTTACTCCATTTTTACGCAGAGGCGAGGGATGTACCATATGCCCAGCAGCAAACGTTTGTGAAAATTGGGGCATAATGAGGAGAGAAATTGGAACGGAAATAGGAATAATCGGAAGTAGAATCATAAGAGTAGAAAAGAGGGTAGGAAGGAAAATAGGGGAGGAGGTAGGGGAAATGAAGGAATGGTGAGAAGGGTGTTTTGACAGGATACTGCATGGGAATCGCGTAGATGATGTGTCATGTCAGCTCGTCCAAGGTGCTCGCTCCCGAGTGTATGTTTCCCAGTAAGGTTCATGTGGACCCACGCCACGGTAAGAGTTTTACTAAGAATAAGTAAAGTTAAAAAGTGTGATATTCGTTTCTTTCAAATTCAATTTTAGTTATTGGTTAGCGAGCCATCTGCTGCACATACCTGAAATCGGTTAAGAATTCCTCCATAATTTAAAGGATTGAGTGGCGTCATGATGAAGTGTTATTTTTGTGAAATAAACAATTCTTGTATAACTTCGGGAACTTGCTTTCCGTTGAAACGTAAATTGACACTGAAAGCTTTATGAAATACTAGCACATTTGCTGCACTTAATTCACATCTTTCTCATGACTTTTGCTCATCCCTGCCCTTTGGGATCTTGAAGGTTGTTCGCCTGCTCGGTGCTCTTGAGCCTGACGTTGAGATGATTCTCGTCTATGACTAACATCATAGACCATGTGTACACTTTTGTCTCAAATCGCGGTGCAGAATATATTACAGAGGCGGCTGGTGCCCCAACAGACTGGAAGTTGCACCTCCATCGAATGACAATATTATTTCCAAAATTCTGATATATAATAAAAAAATACGCAATTCATGTAAATTAATTAAAACTTAAGTTAAATAAAAATGTATTGAAACTTTTCTTACATAACCTTATGCGCAGTGTCTGTGTCAAGTGTGACACCTTCTGCGCACGTGGTTCTGGCTTTGGTTTCCATTGGCCAGTTTTTGTATTAGTTCTGCATTGAGACAATTGGCGATAATATAATTCATAAAAAACAAAAAAGACTTGGTTTAGAAAATATGGTGATCGCACTCCAGCATTTTGCAACAAGCACTTTGACACGTTTTGCACAAAATTATTTTGTGTCGAAAATTTTACTACCTTGGTATATCTTCTAATAAAGATATTCCACTCACACAACATCGCTCGCAGACCGTAACTTTGCTACAACTGCAGCCGACACACCCACCGTGAGAGACAGAAAGGGATTTCCCTCCGGAACTGCCAACTTTACATGTAATCAAATGTACATTTTGAATCGAAAACCTAACATCAAAAGAAAATTAATTCTCCAAGCATCATAAATAATGCATACAGTACCGTCAATAATTGACTGAACGTGTGTACTTTCAATAACAAGCGAAATTCATAAAATTATGTTACACTTAGTGTCAGACGAAGGCAGAAAATTGGTATTCCCCTCGGTTCACCGCGCAGCGCTCGGCAAGACTCCTCCCACCTATTGGTTGCTACAGCGAAAGTCATATATTATAGCGCTGTCCAAGAGTAAATGCAGTTATAGAGGCAAGAGACAAGAACATGGTGCAAAACCTGGGAGGGTACCAGAGGCCGGAGAGAGCGCCAGTTAGGCGCTCTTTGGTTTTAAAATGGTTTCACGTCCATCGAGATTGCTGGAGTATCTTGAATATTGAAAATCATTAACACGTGAATGTATATTCATAATATTATAAAATATTTTTCGATTATCTGGGAGTTGTGTACCCTTGCAGCATAAGCACGAGCAGACATACTATATCATCAATCCCTGAAAACACCCGCGAATTATTCTCTCATATTTGATTTGCAGTTCATCCATAAAAATATAGGTAATTGTGATGTAATTATGAGGCACTAAACTATCTATGTAAAATAAATATGTGCACAACTAAATGTAATTAAATATCGATATTTTTTGTAGTGCAAGTATGCTACAACTGACAAGAGTTGTCACTGTTCAATAGTAAAATAAATTATTTGAAAGATACTTCTTAAAAAAAGTATCAATAGTATATGAACTGAGGAGTAAGAGCAATGAAATATGAACTTATTTTGTATTAATTATAAGCTTTGTTTTTCAGAAAGAATAAATCAGATAATATTTATAGATATCACAACTTACCGGTTCTCTTTCATGTAAATTTATCTTCAAAATTCATTTTGTGTTTTTTCTACATTGTATGATTTGTTACAGCAACTAGTGAAGTTTTTCAAACACTTTATTGCAAAGAATTATCAATTTGTATCCAGTGAAAGTCTTCTCAATACTATTTTACTTTATCCTCATGAAAACTGTAGCAAATTCTTGGATTTATTTCACTGATGGAGTAAGTGCTTTCTCAGTCATTTTACAAGACAATTTCTTAAAATCAGTGTAACCAATGCCTCCAAATACATAATTTTTTATTTGAAAAATATTAGAAATAGATCTGCAAGGAAATTCTGTTTTGGATTTGTTTTGGATAAAGGAATGAAAATGAGAAAAGAAACTTAGCATGTATAACATAATTTAATGATTAAACCAAATAACATAGAAAATATTTACATATATATAATACACAATATAAAAGACACTGTCATTTCCTTGGTTTAGAAAAATGAACATATATTAAGGCTTCCTTTGGTGAATCACAGTAAAGCTTGCAATTCTTCTTATATAAGATGCACAAATAAATTATCATGAGATCAGTGTTTCATTATATCTAAATGATCCTTCAAATTGGATGATTACTGAATGACTCACTTGAAAGAACGAGTTTAATCTTAGACTAAAATACATTCAAAGTTACAAAAAAAATGATAATATAAAGACAATACCAGATGGATACCACTGAAAGATCATACAAACACTTATCACAATATAAATACATTAAACTAGATCAAAAAATCTATGTAGTACAAAAGTCCTCATAGATATTTAAGGCACTTGATTTATATTACTTTTTTTGGTTGCTCCTGATACATGTAAGAACTGAGATCATACTGAGGTAACTTGAAATCCCATTAGATAGTTCTTAACTAGAGTGGGACTATCAATTGCTTCCACGAAGCATATTTATTTGGTATTAAATGGCATTAGCCGATCTCATAGAAACAAGTTTTCTTTACACAGAGTGAGAAAACTACTTAGATGAAAGCTAATCCTGACTGACTATTTATATTACCATATAGTATATTACAAATAATGTGTTGAAAATCATACACAGGAAACAAATTATAACAGGTGAAGATACAAACTGAAATGAAAAGTAGAACTAGATGAAAATACAAACTTTAAGAAATTCAACTAACAAAAATGTCACTAACTTTGTTACTAAATTTAAAATGACTCTTACAAAATCCAAAATGTAGATATTTTAATGTATTTTTTTTACAAGAGGCCACACACAATGTCTTTCATTAAACTCACTTGTTAAAGAAATATTTAAAATTACCATGTTCTTTAAACATATTGTTTAAGAATACATTGGTCTGATTAATCAGCTATGAAATACACATAAGATATTTGCTTGGCTTAATTCTTATTATTTTCCATTATTAATTTCTTTTCTTTCTCTCTTTTAATATTTCCAAGATGAAAACCAAACTCTAAAAATCCACTTGTATTTGTGTGCTAACAAAATTAAAAGATTTCTGAATTAATGAAAAGTACATTAACTACAAATGATTAGCAAGGTTTTTATGGAAGGTGGTACATTAATTCCTATACAAAAGAAAAGAATATAGAAATGACTTAAATCTCATTTGCTTCATTTTACATAAGTGAACATTTGTACAAATGAAGATTTTGAGTAATAAAATATAAAAATGTGCAATGCAAAACAGGAAAGATTTATTTTACAAATAAACCTCTCTTAACATATGATTGATCTACTGCACTACAAACAAGTACAATAAGAGACTGATATTTAAATAAAGAAAACACTCAGCACATTTGAAGTAAATAACTCTTCAAATACACTATGTATTTGTAATACAGTTTCTTTTTCAAAACATTCTCAAAAATGACTTCAGGTGTATCATATATTACTATCTTTATCAGTGTTAAACAATAATCTTACAAAGAGAAAAAACATATTTTCTAAAATAAAACAAAAAATGTTGACTGAAACCAGATCAAATACTTTAAGTGTTGTGGTGACACCAGTATTACATTTAACACATAATATTTCTCCCAACAAGAAAAATACTTTGGATCTGTCATAATCATTTTCCTTTATCTTGATTAATAGTGCTGCATGAAGTATTTTATCACTATTCACAGCTATGGAGAAAGGTGATTCTAATTGTATGTGCCAATAACTGTTACAGACTAAAATATGTCAATACAAATTATTAGTTCAGTTATAGCATTTCATTGTGGATTTACAAAAAAATAACATTACAAAATAAATTGGCATACAAAAGGCAGTGATCCTGTGTTACGTATAGATATTGAAAAAGGCAATTATCAGAAAAAGTTAAAGGGATAAAATGCATGGCAATGATAACTTAAGTGTTTGTTAACTTCTCTAGCTGGAAAAAATGTTTAAAAATACACACAAAACAAAATAAGATTCAATGTGACAGGTACAATCAGCAAGTACATTATTGATTATCCAGAGTGAACAACTGCAAACAAATATCTTTTTTATAAGAAAAATCTATCTTTTCTATATCTTTTTTATAAAAAAAGGGGGGGGTACAGGTCATTTACATAAAAATGTTTCCATTGATTGCTCAATATTCAGATATTTAAGTTTACTTTCATCATCTCAGTTCATTCCATATGATTCAGGAAGACCCTGTAACTCCTTGTAAAAAGTATTTTTCTTATTTCCCCACAATTGTGAGAATTTATTTTGCATGATTTGTGTTAACAATAATGTCATTCTTTAGAGAAGCCATTTAAATGAAAGACAGCTAATTAACAGTTTCCGATATTAAACACGATGTCAAATACTTCAACAAATATTAAGACTTTTCATTATTATCTGAACATTTATTAAGATACAACAGTAATTATATTTTTAAGAAGTAAACTGAATATTAAAAGACAACAGTAAGTTTCGGCGATCAATGATCACTTTCATTAACATGTAACGGAAGTTCGAGTATTACATATAATCATTAGTTTTGCACTTTTCGACTGAGGCAACTATTTTGATTAATCAGTACTTCCGATTAACATCGAGATAGAAACGAGTCCAAGTCATCCATACGATAATAGTATGAACAAAGAAGATTAGTACACGAAGTTGCTTTGCTACTAAAGCCCATCAGGACAGATCATCACTGATTTCCTTCAAGGAATGAAAGCCTTGATAACAGGGTGTTTTCGTATCATTAAAGTATCAAAAGTGCACAAGGGAGTCCTACTGGCTCAGGGAGTGATTTCCATTTCTCCGCATAGCAGAGGCCTAATGGATTTGGAGATCGGAAAGGAAGGGGGAGGGCGCCTCAAAAGTGCACATCCTGCACGTCGATAGGAGTCTCTGGTTGTCGATCCTCCTCCACCTCCGATTCCTCGGGCACGACGCCGGCCATTTTGGCTGACGCGGTGGGTTGCAGCGCCGCGCCGGGGGCTGGCGTGTAGCCCGGCAGCGGCGCTGCCTGCGGCGGCAGCTGTTGCTGTTGGTTCGCCACTTCAGCCGCTAGAGCGCGTTCGATGTGCCTGATGACGGCCTCTGTGGCCTGCGGGTCGGCGCGTGTGATGGCGCACACCGTGCGGGCCATGCTGCTGAGCACGTGGGTGCTGGCGCCCGGGTGCAAGCCGCGCACCGCTGCGCAGATGGACGCGGCGGCCAGCAGCGACGGCGGGCTCTGGATGAATTCAGGCTCTGCAACACAAGAGAACACTTTTAAGCACAAATGCATTAACGACTTCAATCATTATAATAATTGTGGTACATGTGACGGGTTCTGATTTTACACGTTAACAAATTTGTCTTGTACGAGCTTTGGAAAACGGTGGCTGGATGTTTGCCTGCACAATAAATTACCCACATAGACAACATTCCGTTTGAGCGAAATTTTCCTATACCGATCTTTATTGTGCTTGCGAGTCAAAGGAGAACATATTTTGTGGCACACTTGAAGCAGACGTTTAAACTGCAAGTGTCGCCGAGTAGCGAACCGAAGACCACAAGGTCGTCGAAAATACACATATTTGATATATAGTAAGGAGTGCATTGAGAAAGTTCATCGAAATTTCATTCTAGAAGACACGTTTGGTTACAAAACTCCGTACTTGGATGCCACGTGGTCATCTGCATGCGCTATTTAAAAAACAACTGAAACCAGCTTTTCTTTATGCTATGGCTTATGTACGGCGCACGTAAGGCAAGCATTGTTAGTTAATTAGGAACTCTTGGAAATGACTTGATTACATCTGTATCGCAATTATAAGCCCTTGCTAATAACGTTGCCGAAAATTATATTATATAGAGCTAAAAAGGACGATTTCCAAACAAAATGTAATTGTAATGCATATAGTCAATGTCACGCCAAAGAAGTATTGCAATTTTAATTAAATTTCATACAATCTCTCTCATTTAAAATCCAAGAAGTGTGAAATAGATATTTTAAATAATGAAACATAATATTAAGATAACATTACAACAAACTGAAGAGAAGGGACGAAGAGGAAACAATGGCAAAAATAAAACTGGCTGATATTCAAATCTTAATAAACCTTCAAAAAACTTAAAAACAAAACAAACTTAGGCAAGCTGCCGGAGCAAATGTTTGGTTCCTGGTAGTATACTAGAGCGTATCGATACTCCAGTGGAAATAGTAGGTATATATCGGGTACATCGCGTAATGGACACCCTGCTTCGGTCCCCATTTCGCGGGGCTGCGCGTAAAATAGCAACAGTGGCAGCGTTCGTGGCGTGAATAGGCCGGAGATTTTATGATAGCAAAGCTGCAGGGGGACGCGGACCCCCCCCTCCCCAGCAGCCGCGTGGGATACGGGTTTCCACTGGTTTTTGTGTCCGTCCCGGGCTACCTGGCCAGCTGGGAGAGTACGCAACACCTGCGGGAAGTCGGGTGGAGCGGGAGGAAAGAGGGAGACAAGACGCGAGCGGCCTTTTAAAAATGGCCGCCGTGTTTACGGCGCGGCCCACAATGCGCGCTGCGCCCACGTGGTCGCGACGACAGTCCACGAGGATTTATCGGCGGCCAGGTACAGATTCCCCTGAGCCGGCGATTCGCCAATAATCGGCTCACAAAACGGCGAAGGAAAGGGCGAGCGCGCGCTGCAAGAGCACGAGTGACAAAGTACACTTTTTCTCGTGTTGAAACTGGCCTCGTCGTCCTGCTCCAGTCGATAATCCCATCTGCCTCCTGTCCAAACGAACCGCGACTTCCAGGCATGTGATCAAACAGATGAACCTTTCCTCTCTTATTCAACTTCCCGCTAAGGAGAAACTAGCCCTAATGCCCTTTGTCAGTAATAATTGTCGCCTGTAAATGAGAGTTAGCTGAGTCCAGCCGAACTTAGAAGGTATTTCAGCGAATATACAGAGGAATTTGTGTTTAATAATCACAAATGAGATTGTACGTTTAGTGTATTTATTTTTGAGAAACCTATATAAATATCTATGTAGGTACATTATAATATATTTGTGAACTTTCACAGCACTTAGCATACACATGTAATGAAAGCTATCCTGAAATAGAATTCGAGCACTGGTTCTTGTTCAGGTCTCGTATGACCCCTTTTCACGTATAATGCATATGTGATGGAAATCCTACAGCAGTCGCATTCATGACTTGAACGAACAGGCCACATCTTGTTTGTTCCCCGTGCATGGGAACCGCGTGCAAATCTGCCGGTGCGGACCAGGGGCACCAGGGCGCCCTCACCGGGAGGCGGTGGCGGCGGCGGCGGCGGCGGCGGCGGCGGAGGCGGAGGCGGAGGCGGCGGCTGGCAGCTTTTCAGAGCCGCCTCCGAGGAGCCTCGACCCGAGCACTGCGGCGCCGCCGCTGATAGGGCGCTGACCCGGGCGGGCGCGAACACGTTTTTAAATGGGACGTGATAAAAACATTCACAAATGGGTTGTTTTATATTTTTAAGACAGTTCACGACATTAAAGAAACATAGAAAAATATGTTTACGGTAGTAGATGTAAGGGAAAACGATATTTTTTATATATAAGCGTAAAAATGATATAGAAATTTGAAAAATGTTTCTAAATTTTGTAATTTATTGGTATGCATGCTACGACAAACTGACGTCTCTTCAGTGTTTCACTTTTTCAAATGGTCTCATTATTATTTTTAATGTCAAACATAAACAAATCAAGTGGTTTAGGGTTACGGATAAAACACTTCAGGACTATCAAAGGCTATTACACATAGTTTTAATACTTCTTTTTCCTTACACGTCTAGGTCTGCATATTTTTTTTATACCTGACCTCATCTCTCGGGGTGTGGTATCTTAAAACTTCGTGTTAGTTAGGGTCGTGGTAGTTAAGACTGAGGTAAGGCACAACACCCCTAGGTGCAGCTTGGCAAAACACTGGCGGCGGCGACGGCTGCCACGGTACAACACGACACTGTACCGCGATGCAGGCGACAAGCGGCTCGTTACAGCTGCCATTCTCTCCTCTGCCCCCCCGGGTTCTGCTTCCAGCGCGCTCCGGGCGGCGCAGGCAAGACAGGGTGCGACGTGATAACAAGAATACAGAGCTCATTTGCATGTGAAAAGGGGGTTGCAGCCCGCCGCCACGCGGATTCCCCTGCTGCAGCAGAACGGCGACAGAGCACAGTGGGTCGGGATCGCGCAGCCTGCGCTGCTTTTGCACCTCCAAGTAACCTTTCGGCACACTGCTACGACCAACAATACAAACATTAATGCGATGCGTTTTCACCAAATAATGTACCTTTAATCTCTGTCGTTCGTACTGTCAACGTTTTAACACAGTGGCTATCAAATGTCAGTTGAAGCACTTTTTCTCCTTTTAATTGAGTATCTTTTCAACGTCTGGGAAACCACCCAAATTCTATAGCCATAGACCTTCTATATAATAGAGAATAAATATCCGCCGTTTCATCAAAATTCACCGTTATAACTTAATTACTGGTTCTCAAATAAGACCCGAACAACTTTCAATAAACCAATTCCTAACTTTCAAAACAAGTAAGTTTTGTTAGTTAATAGTCGCAGGAAGAGGATGAAATGTACATAATGATGAATTTTTCGAAGCACGAAATCACGGCTCTATAAGCTGCCGCCTCCACCGCCTTGTTATGGATGCCTCAGCGTTGAGACTGGGGCACACGCTTAGTCTTCAGAAATCCACGATAGATAATTTTGTAACTTGATACTTAAAACAAACTAGATGTATATTTTCCAATCGCAGTCAGATTCGATCAAGTCCACCACTTCGGAGAACGCAATTTCTACGAAATGCTCGCTTCCCATCGAGCGAAAGTGACTCCAGGACCAGAATCCCTGTTCCTGAAGACAATCTCTCATTACTCACTCAGCTTCTGATTTCACATTCACCGTCGCCGCCATTCCTTCATCTGACAGGTCATTCGAAGGTGCATACGGTGACGTGCCTTAGTTTCAGACGGCAACCCTACGGTGGGGCGCGGAGTGGGTGGGATGAGGTGGGAGGAGGGCGGAGGCAGCTGCTGACCCCTGCGGCGCGGCGCCGAACGCTGTACAATGCAGCTTCCGCTCGCCTTGCCCGCCCCGCGCAGCCCCCCCCCCCAGCCACGTATGCGTCGCGACGCTAAGCTGAGTTCCCACACGCACCACGAGGTGCGCTGACCCCCCCACACACACACACACACTTACGAGAAGTCATAGCGTCTCGCTCCCGATGGGGACGGGGGCGTGATCAAAGTGCCTGTTGATTGCTCGTTTCATTCCCTTGGGGAACAGCCTTTTGCTTGATGAAAACGCCCATCATTGAATTTTGTCGCAAAAGCGAAATGGATAGGTAAGGGTTATCAGAACTGCCGAAATGGTAGAGATCGGGGTGCACTGATGACGGAATGTCATTTCCATACTTCTTTTGGGAGTTCAGAAACTGCTGCATAAAATACAACTCCGGAGGCGAAACATTTAAGAGTGGCTCCTTGTGGAGGTTCTCCAGTGTCGATAAACTTCGATTCTAACGATTTTTTAAAAATATTTTAATTGGTGGTGGTTCACTGTCATCTAATCTGTGAATAATAACGCGCACAAGGAAGCTTTGACCGTACGCGCCACGCGAGGAAACGTGTTTTTTCCTGAACGTGCGCTCATTCATTATTATTCCTTCGAACACTTCGTCACGTTGGCCTCCCATACGATTGTCGCGTTATTTCCTCCTAGAAGTTTTCGTTCCACGCCACCGAAGAGAACGAGTAAAATAATATTTGCAGACGCATATGATTTTCTTCCCAATCTTTAAGTCTTAAGAAATTTACCACTTCCCAAAAACCATCCAGACTACTCTCTAGAGGATTTGCATAATCGTTGATTCTCCAAACAATTACACAGTGATTCCGCTCCAAAGATTATGATTTCCCAGCCCTTCAGTGCCTATTGTTGCAAAGACTTATTTCGCAATAATTGGCCGCTCAGTGATTCTCTACGCACCGATACACTGCCTCCGAGAGCCTGCGGCCGATTAACTACACGTTAATTCGCCTCCGCGGTTCCCATGGCCCCGCGCTCCCCGAAGGGCTTCGCGGTCCGGGCCGCCCTCCGCCCTCCGCCCCGCGGCGACGCAACGCGCCTTTGATGACCGCCCGCGGCCACAAAGCGCCGATTGTCTCGTGGGCGAAGGACCGACGGGCGAAAGGGCTGCGGCCTCCAGGTGCGACGCCCAGCCGCTT